GGGGGGGGGGGTGGTGTTTAATATCATGGCTGCCTGAAATAGTAGATAAAGTTGTAACAAACAATAAGCTAACCAAAAATCTTTTTAAAAAATCTGAGAAATGAGATTTCCATAGGAGCTTTTGAAAAGCATTGATATATTCCTGGGAATTCAGAAGACTACATGCATGCTCAGGATTATGTGGATGCCCAGGGCTGTGGAGATGTTCAGGAAAAAACTGAGAAGTCCCTGGTCACTCACCTCTTGCTCGTTTTGAGGTCCTGCACAAGTAAAAACTGACGGCTAAAGCAGAGTGGTAGACTACCTGGCTGAGTGCACACAGAGCCCCTTGGTAAAAAATGGGAGACTTATTGGCTCTAGACATTGAAGAAAAACTTTGTCCAATCTTTAGCTCACAACTAAGCAAACCAAGTAGAACCTTTAGTGGCCACATATGGTAAAGAATATAGGCTTTATAAAATTAGTCCAGAAAATTAATTAAACAAGTAAGCAACAACAAATCCTGAGGGGGGAGAATCTCATAACAAGAGTACTCACAGTATTAAAAATGTCTAATTTTCAACAAAAGATTATAAGACATGCAAAGAATAAAAAATATGAACCACATAACAGAAGAAACCATTCCAAGGAAGCCCAGACATGGTATTCACTAGACAAAGACTTTAAGATATCTTAAATGTGTTCTAATAACTAAAGGAAATCATGTTTAAAGAAACCAAAGAAAAGTAAGAACAAGATCTCACTGAATAGAGACTATCAATTAAGAGATAGAAAGCATAAAAAAAGAACCAGTAGATAGTCTGGAGATGAAAGCTACAATAACTGAAATGAAAAAAAAAAAATCAGTAAAGGGGACCAACAGCAGATTTGAGCAGGCAGAAGAAGGAATCAGCATACCTGAAGATAGGTCAATTGAGATTATCCAATCTGAGAAACAGAAAGGCCAAGGAATAAAGAAAAATGAACAGAGTCTCAGGGACTCTGAACAGAGAGACCTGAACAGAGAAAATATTTCAAAAAATAGCTGCTGGGATCATCCCAATTTGATAGAAACATGAATCTATATATCTAAGAAACTCAGCAAATTCCAAGCAGGGTAAATGCAAAAGGATCCACACCTAGAAACATCATCATCGAACTGTCTTAACCAAAAAACAAAGACAAAGTCTTGAAAGCCCAAGAGAGAAGCAACTCATGTATAAGGATCCTCAATTAACAGCTGGTTTCTCATCATTTCTCATTGCCAGGGGGCAATGGGGTGCAAAATCCAAAATGTTGAAAGAAAAACTGTCAAGTAAGAATGCCATATCCAGCAAAATCATGCTTCAAAAATTAAAAATACAGACATTCCTAGATAAACAACAACCACCAAAATCAGAGAGAGAGAGAAAGAGAGAGGGAATTTGTCACTAGCAAATCTGTTCTATAAGAAACACCAAACTTCAGGGCATTTTAAAGAAAATAATTCTCTTACACAGATGAAACTACTTTGGTTCCCATTTGATGCTGATACTTTTACCATGCACTGTAATTAGAAATCAGTACCTTGCAAGTTTCAGGCAGTAATAATAACTCAAAACAAAATGAATAAAAAGTTGATCTATTATTAAAAGCAATAATTTATTTAAAAATTAATGGGTTTATCAGGTTAATGGCATATTAGCCGAAATCTCAAAATATATTTTTAGGTTAGTATTCCTCAATGATTTACAATCTGGGCTCCAATCCCTTAAAACAGGTTACTACCATTAACTAGGTTTCTAAACTAGTTCCCTAACTTAGTCACTTTCCTAAGTGACTAAGAATATTCTTAAGTATTACTTTTATTCATGTACCTGCAATAAAGCAGTATAGGCTAATGCAAACATCAATCATCTTTGCTTTGGCTTGAACTGTATTAATTGGGTATGTTAACTCAGTTTATATCATGTTGATGAAAGCTCATAAAAGTAATCTCTGATAAGTACATATAGGGAAACAACTTAAATTTTAGTTAGCAAATGTAATTTCTACATAAAATACTTAAACAGTGAGGTTTGGTGAGGAAAATGATGACAAGGGCTTTTTGACAATGCAGATTTCTACTGAAGCAGCTGCTAATTGAGTAGCTGTCAGAGAGCACAGCCTGGCCTGGGGTGAGGCCACTCTTTAGCTTAAAGCGACACGTAGGCAAGATTTGACTCTGAGTATCATTCAAATCAAATTTTTCGTAGGAAAAATGTATTATATCTATCTATATCCTTTACACGTCTTCTATGATGATTCGAAACTTCTATTTAAGACAAGAATCTGCCAGGTCTGATGCTGGATCAATGTTGCTCAAAGAATATTTATACAAATTATTTGGAGATTCTGTCAAATTGGTGGCATATAAGATTTTACATTTCTAATCAGCTCCTAGACGATACCAGCAATAACAGAACAGCAGCACTGGCCTCAGCTGGACGCTTCGCAATTTCAGGACCCACTGCGGGCCTTCGGAATCAGTCTCCCCAGGGTGATTTCTGTGTCAGAGTCTGAGAAACACTGCATTACAAGGAAATGTTTCACTTACAGCTCCTATATGAAGTTTCTCAAAAGACTGTGAGAGAGGACTGAACACTTTTCACATGAAGAAACAGGGGCTCAGAGAGGTTCAGCTTTTGCTCAGGGCCACCTACATGACAAGTGACCAAGGCGAGATCTGACGCTTCATCTTCTTACTCCCGACCATGTGCTTGTCTTACTAGATTTCAGCTGCTGGATTCAAACTGTAGTAATAAGAAGTAAACCTGATGTTTTTATAAATAAGAAACCAAACACAAGATGACAACCTACTGAATGAATCATCATCAGTTGTGAGAAAAAGAGGCCGAGTGGAACGCGTGGTATTAATGGTGTGGCCATCTTTCCTCTCTCAGTAACCTCTGACTCTGAGCCTGTCTGCAATGCAGGCAGCAGGGAATCTGCTGAAAAGACGTCGGTATCGTTAAAAAGGCTGTCAACACTGTCACCTTTCGGTACTGCGAGTGAACACAAGCCTACTTGGCTCCGGCTTCCGCTTGCCCTTCAGACCGGCACACTTTCCCATGTTACGGCCCCAGCACCCGTGACTCTGCCCAGCAGTTTGGGAGAGTGGAGCTTTTCCGTCTCACTGCAATATTAACATTTGAGGCACGGCGCTTCCCGTCATAGCTGTGAACTGTGTGGGGCATTTCATTAACTGAAGTGCCATCCCCAGGGCCTCCACGGTGAGCGTGTGGCCAGCAGCGCCGAGGTGCGCCTGCCACAGCTAGAGTGCCCGCGCCCCGGAGGTGCACACATCTCTTCCGTCTCGGGACGCTGTGCTTCACCTAGTCTCTGGGATAATAAACTGCAATCGTTTCTCGTAAAGGGGCTTTTTTTTTTTTCAAATTTTACAGCCCTTTAGGACAGACCAGCTTGGTAGTCATGATGAAGTATGCCATTTCCCCCTTTTCACGCCCTCCTTTAGCCATGCTCTTCCTCAGAAGGCCAGTGAGAAGCAGGAAAGCCAAATAAAGAGGTCGGGGGGGGGG